ACTTCTGCCCTCATGTGTTAGATATAAGAATTACAACAGCATGTCCATTTTTATACTTGGCCAATTAAATGCTATAATCTGCCTACAGTCTGTTAGCCCCTGGGAAAATGGAGGGAGAGAAGTAAATCGAGATCCTAGCTTGTAAGTAGGAGTTGCATGCTCCAAGTGAATTTTGAACATCTTCCATTTCAGATGGCCTCATTATATTGTTCCTTCCCAACTCACTGTACTTTTGCTGAAGGAATCATTTAGTCCTACTGGGGATGAACTATGATTACATAGTTATTTCAGTTCTACTAATGATAGTTTTCCTGCAAGACCATGGGGCAAACACATTGATGCACATTCAATGTTACCATTCTATAAAAACCCTGTAGTGAGGATGATTGAATTCTACACAGTTTACAGAATAAAACAATATCTCACACATAGATTTTAAAATATCTATCAGGAGCTGAAGAGATGACTCAGCAGTTAAGAATACTTTCTGCTTTTCTAGAGAACTGAAATTAAGCTCCCAGGACCCACGAACTTACCTGTAATCCCAGCTACAGAAGATCTGAGCCTCTGTAGGCTCCTGTACTCTTAAGGCATAGGTACTCAGAGAACTTTCTGGCTGGAAGAAGTCACCTTTGTTTTCGTTTCTACACACATGCACAGAAATAAAAACAGATCGTAAGATCCCGTCACCTGGGCACGGTGCCACATGCCTTTCTTTAATCCTAGCACTCAGGAGACAGAGGCAGGTGGTGTGAGTTTGAGAATAATCTAGTTTACACAGTTAGTTCACAACCAACCAAGGCTGCATGGTGAAATTGTCTCCAAAAAATTCTCAAAGCACAACTACCTGGTGTTAGCTAAGAATACCTAAATACTTCTGTCTTAGTAGAAGCCAGGAATCTTTATAGTTTCTTCCAAGCACCAATTCTTTCAGTTTCTTGCTCATCCACATACTTTAGATACCTTGCTTCTTGCTTCAAAGAAACTGAAGTCTCACAAAATGTTCTGTTGGAACCTGGAACCTGAAAATGTCCTAAATGGAACCTGGAAACTTCCCCCTGTCCTGAATAAAGTGACATGTTTTCTTATGCACAAAGGATGCCTAAGTCTCCTCCTCGGTACCATGGATATGGAGGAAAGAGCCGCCCATTCCCAGTGTCTTTCCCAAATCCTCCCACATTGCAGGGGCACCACCCACAGTCACAGCCTGACTGCTCTTTATAATTATAAGTGACTCGTGTTCAGCCCACAGATAGTTCTAGGGTGGGAACTCAGATGTTTTCTCTTACCAAAGCAGTCAAATGATTCTGCTCAAAGGCAGGGCCCAAATAGACCCCTGTGAATGGACCGAGGCCATTGTAGGCTCTCTGGAAAGTCAGGTAGGGATTACGGACCACAATGAGGCACAAGTCATAATTTGCAGGCTATTTAAACCTCTCAGATCAAAATCTCCCATTATGTGTAGTTATCTTTCAGGTTTTACACAGATGTAGGCATTCCACGTAGGGTAGGGGCTGTGTTAGAGTCTCCCCACAGAAGGAGATTTGGGGTAACTGTCTGGTGAAAATATCTTGCATTTATCAGTAAGCACACTATTCTAATCACAGGGCTGTTTGCTCTGATGCCAGTCACGGAGTTTCCCATTGGCAGTGCCATTAAAGACAATTTCATTGTTCAGGCCTTCAGTGTATATAATCACAGGCTTCTTCTAAGCAGAGCAACCTGGTAGGAAGTGTATGCATAATCAAGACGGAATTGTCCTCATGAAAGCCTTGGCCTGTAGTTTCTGAGACCATCATACTTTTCTGTATTTTCCCAGTGACCAATTCTCTACGTGCTCTGAGCAGAAGGTCCTGAGAGAAACTCCTGCTAACCTTGCTTGCACCTCTGCCGTTGTCACTGTCCTCTTTTCTGGGTCTAGTCTTCTCACCTCCAAGTTAGCACCAGATCACTTACACTTCTGGGTGAGTGTGTAGAGAAATGGAGGCAGGCCAGAGTTCTGTGAGGGACATTTGGACCTACAGGATAAATATAGTTTATACTTAGAAGGTTGACCTCATTCAAAGTTGGGACATGGATAGTTCTAGAAAAGGAAGCAATGGTGGCATAAGGTGAATTAATTAGGAGTAAGTTTGGCTATAAGTAAAGAGGAAGAAGAGGAGGAAGAGAAGGAGGAGGAAGAAAAGGAAGAAGAGGAGGAACAGGAGAAAGAGGAAGAGGAGGAGGAGGAAGAGGAAGAAGAGGAGGAAGAAGAAGATAACTGTGGCCCAGTTATTTTGGAAAACACCCAAAGTTGACCTCAGGCTTTCACATGAACATGATGAACATTCGAAACACATACACATATAACCCCATGTATACAGGAGTGCCCCACCCCCACCCCAGGCATACATGAGTCTTCCACTCCCACAAATATACCCACGGATTAACAAAACCTGCTTTGTTAGTCACCTCACAGTGGCAGTCAACACTTACTCTAAGTAATTTTAGAGTCCCGGGACTCCATGTCTTGGAAAGAGCATTGACTCTGGGTCTCTTGGAAAGAGCATTGACCCCTCTTTTTGACCCTTAGCAGGCAAGAGAGGGAAAACACCTCTCAGCCTGTCTCCCACTGGAAGAGGCTGGACCTGCTAGTTAACAGTTTTTAATCCCCCTTTCATAGGTGGTGAGCCAGAAGAGGCAACAGCGACACCTCTTGTCCATTTTTGTATTCATATTTACTAGTAATTAATCTTCCAAGTTACTCTGTAAGCTATTGTGCTTTAAATGAAGGCATATTTGCCCAGGAGCCTGACACACATGCACACACACACACACACAGACACACACACGCACAGAGAGAGAGAGAGAGAGAGAGAGAGAGAGAGAGAGAACCAAATCCAGTCATTAATAAATAATAAAAGTGCTGTGTATTGTAGGCTGAAAAAAAAAACACTTCAGAAGAGAGCTTTCATATCTATGACCTCACTTCACACTACATATTATTATTTTAAACTCCTCTCTAGGGGCAGGGTGTTCCAATAGAGCAGCATGAGGGAAGATAAGGAACACAGCCCCAGGCTGACTGACATGATCCAAGTAGTTCTCCAGGGGGCGTCCCCTGGGCTCTCTTCCTGCTTGTTTAAAAACTAAAGGCAAAGATAAGAGACTGTACTAATTTCCAGCTGTGCCAGGGCTCACTTACTCCAGCTGTGTGTGTGTGTGTGTGTGTGTGTGTGTGTGTGTGTGTGTGTGTGTAGGAGGTGGGGGGGAGGGATGAGGCATACAGAGGGGGAGGGAGAGGGGGAGGGGAGTGCAGTTACCTTTTTTTCAGAGCTGTTTTTTTTGGTGATGATCTAAAGAAGGAAAATAGATTCATTCTGCCTTGTGCACCAATGCCAGGTAGCTAGAAGGCTCCTAGCTGGAAACCCTGGTGTTTCTGTGCAAGACCCTGTGAGGTCAATTCTGCTTGTGTTTTCCATGTGTTCATGTGTATGGTTTTATTTTCAGGAACACATCTTCCCACCCCCACCTCCCCACCCCCCAGAGTATAACCTAATTCTTTACCTTTCCAGCTAAACTCCCTCTAGGGTAATCAGCTTTGGATTTATTAGATTTTTTTTTAAGCAAAGTGAATAAAATAAACCCAAACAAAACCTAAAACAAACAAAATGAAGTAGGAGTCAAGAAAAAAAAAATCCTCTCTGTGGGTGACTTCCTGCTTTCCTGTCAAATCCTAAATCCAACAACAGGGTTTTCCCCTCCCGGGAATCCAGGTGCGTACTGCCGTCCCCTGGAGCGTCTCTTGTCTGGACATCTGTGTATGCAGATGCGTTGTGACTGGACAGGGAGGTGTACGTTGTTCCACCCTGATTACTTATGATCCAGAAATGAGGAGCATCTACCTCACAAGAAATCATTGGATTATGCTCTTCTCATGAGCAAGTAGAGGAGGCTATGTCAGGCTTACAACCAGCACCTGGTCCCCCAACCTTCCCATGATAGCCCTCCCAGTGACTTTGATCCGGGTTGCTTTCTTGCCAGGTTCTGAAGACCTCTGAGGATGAGTCCCGCCTTGCCTGCTGTGTTGACTCGGTGTAGCCCCACCTTGCTATGTCTTGTATGCAGTGGCTGCTCTGGAAGGGCAGAGTGACTGCAGCCTGTCTCATCATTTGGTCTTGCTAGGCTCTCAGTTTGCTCTGTGTAAAACCAGAGTAAATTAAGCGGTTGCTTATGCATATCTCACATCTTTAGCATTCTATGGGATTCTTTGGGAAAGACATTTTAAATTATCTTCCATTTCTGAGGCTGTTTCTAAGCAACAGAATGGTACCTCCCTTTAATCTTTCCCTGACCTTTTCTGCCTATGAAGATGTTTCCTAGTGAGCCTGTGGGGATGGGTATTATCTGTTACATTTATTTATGACTTGGTGGTGACTCCTAGGTTGTTGTTCAGCTTTTCATGTGTTAGTCCCTGCATAAAATTAGACCTCCCAAAGATGTATATACTATATGAAGAATGTGTTTAAAGAAATACTGGTCAAATAAATAAATATCACATGAGAGCATAAACTCTATTCTATCTAGAGAGGACGCTGGACTTAGGGAGACAGAAGAATAGAGATGAACACTGTTTTTGAGGTTTTTAAAATTAATGATGCTGCTGGGGCTGTAGAAATGACTCAGTGGATAAGAGCACTGACTGTTCTTCCAGAGGACTGGGGTTCAATTCCCAGCTGCCATATGACAGTTCACAATTGGCTGTAGCTCCAGGATCTAACATCCTCACATAGACATATATCATGCAGGTAAACTAACAATCCATATAAAAGGAAAATTAAAAATTAAAAAAAGAAAGAAATTAATGATGCAATTCTTCAAGATATGAGACAAGATCTTACAGGTAAATTGGATTTGGGGGAGTATGGATAGCAACACGCCTCTTTCTACAGTTCCCTTTGGGTGGTTATTGAAGACCACTGGCCAAGGAAAGATTTTGAGACATAAAATACTTGTCAAAGGTGCTCGCTTCGGCAGCACATATACTAAAATTGGAACGATACAGAGAAGATTAGCATGGCCCCTGCGCAAGGATGACACGAAAAAATAAAAAAAAAAAAAAATACTTGTCAAAGTAGACTATTTTACTGTGCTTAAGCCGACAGCTTCCCAAATGATTGAAGATAACTTTTGAAATCCTTGTATAAACAATAAGATGAGAAGGTGAGCTGGGAAGGAACCGTGGAAAATAACTTACTTGCCTTTTGGAAAGATTTGGGATATTGAACCTAGACTCCTATACTGCACTACACCACTGGCTCCAGAATAATCGACCTAAGGAACAGCTGGAGGATCTCAGAAAAGGAAACTGCCAAGAGGCAATGAAGCTCTTGGTTTAATGGGTAGCCCTTCCATATAGACCACCCTGTCCTCTCTCATCATGAAATAACAAGGGAGATGGGGTGTGAGGCACACAGTGGACTGTGAAGAGCTCATTAGAAGGAAAAAAAAAAAAACAAAAACCAAACAAACCCGTACGTGAGCACTTCTGGTCTCAGCTCAAAGAGACCCATGGCCTCGTGATTTGTCATAGCAACTGCTGGGCCAGCTAAAAGGAAGCCTGTATTAACTCTCAACACCAAGCACACAAGACTGACCTAACTCTCACCCTTGAACTTCTGCGGCAAATCGTCTCCGATACATGCAAAACCAATATGAAACCTCAACATAGAAAACTAAATGCTGTGAGTTCCTTCACTTGTTCCCAAGCTCCTGGGACTATTAATATTTCCCTTGTATTTCATCAGCATTAAATTCCTAGATTGCTCTGCGCACGGGGGGCTCAGAGAGTGTGAAGAGAGGAAGGTAAAGTGTGAGAGAGCAGGGGCCTTGGTGCTGGGACCACTTTGAAGAACAGGCTGCAATTCCTAACAACTAAATACAATTAAATATGTATTCCTCACCATGTTATCTCTGTGGTGGGGAGGATTCATCTGGGCTCATAGTTTGAGGATGCAATCCCTCCTGGCGGTTGAGGAGTCCTGGGAGAGAGAACAGCTCCAGCTGCTGCAGCCCAGGGTGGAAGGGGCCACTCACATGGAAGGAACCTGCAGTCTGGAAGCAGAGAGGTGTGTGCCAAGGGATGCCCTTGTCTGCATTCTCCTATATTTGATCTGAGACCCCTCCCCCACCCCAGGAAGTATTCTCAGGGAAACAGAAAACCAGTAATTGTTATTTGCTGGTTTTACAGCTACAAACACTTCATCACCAACTGTTTACCTCCAGAGCTGGCAGGTTGCCAGGAGACAGTAGCATCTCCCATTGCCTTTGTCCAAGATAATTTTAGGTGGTAAAACTATCCTGACTCCAGCTGAGGTCTTCTTTCTTGAGGGACCATTTTGGTCTCTGCTGTAGCTGCACCAGTGACTTTGTCTTAGCATCTACACAACATGTCGCAGGACATGTTCATTTGTGTTCTTATTTTTTTGTTTTGTTTTGGTTTTTGGTTTTTTGGTTTTTCAAGACAGGGTTTCTCTGTATAGCCCTGGCTGTCCTGGAACTCACTCTGTAGATCAGGCTGGCCTCAAACTCAGAAATCCGCCGCTCTCTGCCTCCCAAGTGCTGGGATTAAAGGCGTGCGGCACCACCTCATTTGTGTTCTTTATGTGCACGTTGCCAATGACACTGAAAGTCAATTTGGGGCTGGATGCAGCTCCATGCTACAGTGCCTACCTAGCCTGCCCCAAGAGTCTGGGTCAATCTGAAACCCAGCACAGGGAAGGAGCTGGGTTTGGTTGATGTAATTTACATGTAGGCAACACAGTCTTGAGAGCTCCGTATATTAAGGCTAGCACCAGCACAGTTGAGTCTGAGAGCCTCAAATGTCGCCTAGTCATCCTTTCTTTTCCCACCACCCCTTTTCACCCCCAGGCCTCTTATTCCCTGATCTGATTTCTGATATGGAACACTTTTTAATTCCAGTTCCATACTGTTACAGCTCCCTCTCAGATCAGTTTCCCTACCAGGAGATTCTGGTTCCTATTCTTCCAGTACCCAGTGTGGTGTTTGATACCTAAAAGTGAATGAAGGAATGATGTGTGGTTTTTTTTTTTTAATTATGCCAAATCAGATTGGAGATCCTAGACTCTAACTTCTAAATGTGTTGTTTGAAGGGGACAGGCCTGGTAGGGCATGGCTATCATTTCAATACTTGGAGGTAGAGGCAGTAGGAGGATCAGGAGTTCAAGGCTAGCCTGAAAAAAAGGAAACTGGTGTGTGTGTGTGTGTGTGTGTGTGTGTGTCTGTCTGTCTGTCTGTCTGTCTGTCTAGAGTAGAGAATGCTTCTCCTGGAGCATTGATCTACAAATCTAAGAAGAGAATGCCCTAATTTCCAGCCATAGAGACTTTGCTGGTCATTTCTAACAGTTCCCAAGAAGTTGGGCTTTGTCTTAATTAAAGGGCAGGACCCTGTTCTTTCAACCTGGAAATAACATTTGGGATCCTTCAAGGCTAACTGGTCTTAGCTCCTTCCTTGCTCCCTCTCTCTGGTCTCCTCGGAGCTCCTGGCCCAGAGGCTATCCAGAGATGCTTTGAAACAAGTTCTCTGAAATTCCAGACCATCCATCTTCATGGCCAACTCCTGGAGTGGGATCCTAAGAACATTCCCCATCAGCAGGTGTGGCCCCGTGAACTCTTACCTGCTGCAGCCTCACCTGTCAGGCATCTAAGCCCACTAACAAGGCAGCTGTCAAACAGCTAACACAGACTGGGCCTAGTCTGGTTGCTCTGATCTTGATGTGAATCAGAAGGTGGATACTCTGCAGATGGGCTGGCTGGTGCAGGCCTGTAATCTCACCTACTCTTGAGGCCAAGGTAGAGAGATCACAAGCTAAAGTTCTGCAAGGGACACAGTGAATTCAGGGTCCAACTGAGTCACTTAGTGGGAGCCTATCTCAAGCTTAGATATAAAGGAGACGAGGGATATCGCTCAGTGAGAGAATTCCTGCTTTGGCACATGGAAAGCAAAGGTTCAACTTGGGTACTGCCCCTAAAATGGACATGGTCAGAGAGATTAAAAGAGGAAATGGCTACTCTGCCCTTGCCAATTCTGTGAAATGAAACCATCCTCTTCTTGATTGCTGTCTTTTCTTCTGAAAGAGTCCATTTTCCCCAAGTAAAAGAGTCTCCTGCACTAGGACTTCACAGTCAAAGCCTACTGAGGACCCCCTACCACAAAAAAAGCACATTTGGCTTCTGGGGATGATGCAACCTTTCTAGGGAGGATGCTGGATGCTGGCATCACATTGCATCTTTTTTCTCCTCATCCCCACCCTGTAGCCCTAACAGCTTCTTCGGAGCAGCTCTGGCAGGCCTGTGGCTTTTGCTCTTAGGAGAAAGCTACTGGAATATAACTTGTACCAGGTACCAGCTGTCTCAGGTGTCCACTAACCTTGGCACAAGGATAGGTTCTGCTATATACTGATAAGTAAACAAAACACCAAAAAGATTTTCATTTTGGATAATTGAAGTAATTGTGTATCTCATAATCCCTTGGCTGATGAACACCTTTTTGCAAAAATCATATGTTATTTCATGTTTATGTGTTTTGTCTGCATGTGGATCTGTCTGAACACTACTCTAATGTCTGGTGCCCAAAAGGCCAAGGAATCCTCTGGATCTGGAGTTATAGACTGTGTACTGTTGTCTAGAAAAGCAGTCAGTGCTTTTGACCACCAAGCCATTTTTTTGTTTTTCAGTCTCTACTGTTTTATAACCAAAGGGAACCAAAGAAATTCTTGTGAGAGCAATGACAGGCAGATCTTATAATGCAGTGCCTAGCAAACTACTATAATGATTTTAAGAGTTTTTACTTTATTCTGTGGGTCCAGCAAAGGTGAGCACCTGCCAAAACTCATAGGGATATTTAATGAAAAGCAATGGAAATGAAACAAATGGCTACATAGTTATCTATGTATCTATGTGTTTCTATTCATCACCTGCTTGTCTGGGTATGAGACCAACCCGGGAGGAAGCTCCTGCAATGGGTGTGAACTCAGGCAGGTGGCTAAGTTTTCCTCTGGGTGGAGGAGGGGGGTGGAGCCAGCGCAGCAGGGGAGGAGAGGGCAAGCCTGGTCCCTGGAAGCCTGTGGCAGCTCCCTCTGCAGTGACAGCACCTCAGGATGGACGCTAGGGACTGTGATGCAGAACCAGGGCCCCCTGCCTATTCCTGTGTTGCCTCCTGGTGGGCTATGGTCCTGAGGAACCTGCGGTGAGTGTGATTGGGTCGGTCACTTTCACAGCTCCCTTGTCCAGTTCTAGGCATGGGTGAGGCAGTTACTGGGGCCATCCTGTCCAGGACCTGCTTATAGTTGTCCTAGGTGTGGAGGGCACTGAAGCTTTAGGGTTGGCTTTGGGGTAGGGGGGACTTTGTGGCTTTCACATCCTTGCTAACTCCTGAGTTCTTGAAGATAGCTTTATCCCAGTGTTCAAATCCTGCCTAGGCCAGAGAAGTAGGCAGGTTTGACTTTTCAGAAATGTATAAGGGCTTCAACCTTTAGAAAGATAGTTTCTCTTATCTGTTCAATTTACAACTCTACCAGATGAATTTAAATATTACTAATAATAGAGGCAGTCATAACATATGATGCACTGTAATCGGAGGTGCAATCTTTTCAGGTCAAAGGCCTGTGTAGGTGGAGAAAGGAGGTACCATACCTCAGGTGATTGTTTAAAGGCCTGGATGAACTTCTGGGTGTATTGAAATCACTATGTATGTATGGGGTTACCTGTGTAAATTCTTAACATTCTTTATTCACAAAAATGACTATTTGTCATGGTGTTTTGTTTGTTTTTCAACATTGTCTCCCATGAGTCTGATCAGTCATCCTCACCTCAGTCTTGTTGGCATTGGAGCCAGATCCTGGATTTGGGCTCAGGAGATGTGTGTATCCGGTTTGTTTTGTTGATATTGGTAATCTTGTTATGTTTCTTGTTTCTGTTTCATTTTATTTTGTGTTAGTTACAGAGTACTCTCGGTTCACAACCACACATAGGAGATGTCACTATGAATTGCCTCAGGGATGATGACCAACTGGGATCTTTGTTGTGGTATCCTTCTCCCCATCCCCCCTCCCGCTTCCCCCCCACTCCAACCCAGTGCAGATGTTGGAGAGTGGGTGTGTTATCACATTGGTTCAGTTACCTATGCTTTACCCTTTGACATGCTTTACCCCTTTACCCTCTAGTTCTCTATAACACCAGTGGCTGATGGTTCAGCCCTCACTAGGCAGGAAAGAGCATTTCTCAAGTAGATAATTAAAGCTACAGTTCACAGTCCTGGAGAGCCGGCCATTTTGCTGAAAACAGAGTTGTTGATAGGATCCTCTGCTGGATGCATCACTAATTAGTAAAGAGCAAGACTCAAGAAATGATTCCCAAAAGAATGGCCTGCTGGTACGGTTCATCATCTGTGCAGAGAATTGTTGATCTAAGGTGAGACCTGCTGAGGCACAGACCCAGTTCCAGCCTCCAGATTTTTTCTTGGAGCCAAGGGAGTTTAAATTTCCCAGTGTTCCCAGGGCGCTGACCATGCTCAGCCCGGTATACCACTGCGCCTGAGGTGAGGCAGAAGGAGACCACTTAATCAGCCACTATCTGCAGTAACAGAGTTTTAATATTGCCCTAGTTTGCTTTCTTCTGCTGTGATAAAACACCACAACCTACAGCAAGTTGGGGAGGTAATGGTTTATCTCATTTTACATCTTATAGTCCATCATGATGAGAAGTTAGGGCACAAACTCAAAGCAGGAACCTGGAGGCAGGATCTGAAACAGAGGCCATAGAGGAATGTTGCTTACTGTTTTGTTCATCCTGCTTTTAAAAGTATGTAGGCCCACTTGCCCAAGGATAGTGCACCCTTAATGACCTGGGTCTTGCCACATCAATCATTATTGATCAAGAAAATGTTCCACATAGTTGTTTACAGGCAATTTTTTCCTTTCTTTTCTTTTTTTCATTTCTTTCTTTTTCTTTCTTTTTTTTTTTTTTTTTTGGTTTTTTTTGAGACAAGGTTTCTCTGTGTAGCCCTGACTGTCCTGGAATTCACTCTGTAGACCAGGCTGGCCTCGAACTCAGAAATCTGCCTGCCTCTGCCTCTCAAGTGCTGGGATTGAAGGCATGTGCCACCACTGCCCAGCTGTTTACAGGCAATCTAATGGAGATACTTTCTTAATTGAAGTTCCTCTTTCTAGATAACTCTGGCCAGTGTCAAGTTGACAAAAATCTAACCCAGACACGTTCCTGGTTAGTATACTTATTTCAAAAGTTCATCTGATACAGTTACTACCTAAGGTGGATGGAATGATGGGAGTAAATCCTAAAATAGGAAAATGTAAAATGTTCTCAGGAAAGATGCCGAGAGGAGGAATGTTGGCAATCAGGCACATGAATGGATAGCTAGAAGTGACTTCACTACAGGCATCTTTATAGCCAGCTCTCGAGGGACCTAGTGATGAGACATGTCATCTCTAGCGGCCCAACAGGCATTCCTGTGTATGTCCCTTTGCACATGGCCCCTGTCGCATGTGCCCTTGTGCATGCGCCATGTATCCAATAAAAACCTCGGCCTTCTTAGCCACTTCTCACTTTCTTCTCCCTCTCCCAGAGGCTGCCTCTGTTTTTCCTCCCAATAAACCTTCCAACGTGAGACCTTCTACATGGTATGATTTGTTTGGGACTCACCAAGTAATTCTAACAAAAACTAAAGGCTGTTTTCCTCTTAATTTGGCCAGTGAACTAAATCATCACATTTTTGCATCAACAGGAGTAAAGAAAATGGGAGAAAATCCCTGTGCTTGCAGAACTCATGTTGATTAATTTTCAATTATAGTTAAAACATAAATAAGCTAAAGGATGAAGCCCTCATATCTTCACTGGTTCCTCCATTGCTACTGTCTCCCTTGTAAAGAAAATACATCTGTCAGTCTTCACCATATGGGTCAGCAGATACTGACTGGGCTTGGCCCTGTGCTAGACAGAGAAGGATATCAAAGAAGCTGTGCTATGCTACATGGTTCTCGAGATCTGGCACATAGTGGAGAAGATGGGCAACCAGAGAACAACCAAGGGTCAATCTGAGTCTGTGCTCATTAGTAGGAAGGGCAGAAAGGAAAAGAGGCTGAACCATGGAGGGAAGGTAGGTGTATACAGGCTTTGTCAGCAAGAAATACCTGAGTGCATGCAGGATGCACAGATGGATCCTGCTGAAGGGGGTATAACCCGGTACTCCTTCTTGATCAGCACACGTTGGCTGTGTCAGCACATGGGATAGAGGGAGGTACAACATGTCTTAATATTTGGGATAGTTGTCTGGCTGAATATCATCTGATCTGGGTCCCCAAAATCTGGCTTGTGGACGCTCTGGACAGGAATGGGTCGCTCAACATAAGCTCCAACAAGTTTTCACTAGGACGAATCACCCAGCAAGGTCCTCTGGCCCCTGTGAGGCACCCTGTGTTTACAGCTGTGGCTGATCAAAAGGCAGGTGAAAGAACACCCAGGTTCCAAGGTGGCTGTTTGATGTGGCCAACCTATAGCCAGGACTGGCCAGAAACTGTCTCCTCTGCTCAAATCAGGTTAGCCACTGGTGACTTTTGATCTTCTACTGATCTATGGGAAGTCAAATTGACAACCTCCTCATTAAAAGAAGCACCTTTGTATTATTGATGTTGGGGGAACAGGTCATTCTCTTCTTTTCCTGCAGAGGCTCTCACTAAAGTGCCTTGAGCTATTTGAGAAAAAGGTCTTGTATAAATTATTCCTTTAAAAAGAGAGAAAGAAAGAAAAGAAAGAGACATATTTCCTTCCAATGCCTCTGCTCCCCAAGCAGACAGACCTTCAAAAGGTAACTTAGCAGGAGACTATCCGGCCTACCTTCAAAAGATAACTTAGGGGGTGCCTGAAGGCAAGGCAGGGATGCTGGATGCAGGGATGCAGAGACTGTTGGCAGGAGGCCGCTCGCTAGAAGGAAGCCTGCCCTCACAGACTCCTGCTCCCTCTGCCCCAGTTGCCTTGATCTGGGGCTCAAAGCAGAGCCTGGGGCTGGGATTTTTATCTCTAAAACAATGCCCTGCCCTTCCCTGCTGCCTTCCTGGAGGTTTCTTTAGAGTGTTATGAAACAAGCCTCTTCATGTCTTTCTTGCTGGTTCTGTGGGTAGGCATTTGCCCATTCGTGATAAATTTATTTGAAGAGCTTCCGGTTGCTTGGAGCTTGCACAGTTTTTTACAGTTCTGGTAGACACATCTAAAATCCATGATTCACCAGCTCTCTTCAAGCATCTTTTGGATATAGATAAGTGCTTTGGTTTTTAATTCATCAACATTTGAGGGAGTTTAACAGTTTAGTCATTTCCATAACAGAAGGCTCCTGTAAATATAGGGGCAGAAAATGGGGGAAGAAGCTAAGTAGGAAGGGATTCTGAGATAGAGTGAGGGGACAGAGGAGGAAGGGAGTACGAATTCCATTCCCTTGGAGCAGAATTTTGGTGCCGGCATCGTTGTTGTTGGGGTCCTCTTTGTGGGGTCTTCTTTGCATGCACATGAAACACATAGAACTCAATGGGTCTATGACATCTTGTTGGAGATCAGGGCAAAATTCTGGGATCAAACAGACTTGAGGACCGTGATTTATTGTAACCTTGAGAAGGAGGGAGTCCTGACTTTTGACGCTCCTCTTATGCAAAGCAAGATGATAGCAGTTACCACCTGGTAACTGGTGCAGCAGAGGGATCAGGGCAACTATCAAACAACATTACAGCTGGGCAGTGGTGGTACATGCCTTTAATCCCAGCACTTGGGAGGCAGAGGCAGGCGGATTTCTGAGTTCGAGGCCAGCCTGGTCTACAGAGTGAGTTCCAGGACAGCCAGGGCTACACAGAGAAACCCTGTCTCGAAAAACCAAAACCAAACCAAAACCAAAACAAACAAACAAACATTACAGTAAGCAATTAGTGCTGACCAAGTGATGGGGACATACTTCTCAATAGTAGGACCCAATCTTGAACTTCATGAAAAATGTGGCTCCAGACAGAGGTGGCCTTAGAGGACAGTCACCATTGGGCAGCCATGGTTTTTGGCTTCAGGTGTTTGTGCTGTACAGAACAGTAAAAGAAAGATGCAGGGGCCCAAGAGCCACTCATGGTGCACATACATACGTGCTGGCAACAAACACAATACACACACACACACACACACACACACACACACACAGAAGATGCATGTGTTCCTATCTCACCCTGCCCTGACTCTAGCTCTGTTGAAGCCCCTTGGAGTCCTTTCCTGTCCCTGCTTCTCATAGGTCCTTCTTCTCTCAAAGGTGGAGTCTTCTACCACAGGTTGCTTTCTGAGACCCAGCCAGAAAGTTGTGGTTCTAGTGGTGCTTACTCAGAACTAATGGGGAGCGCTGAGGTATCACTTGAAGCGCTGACTAAGCTGTCTGAAGCTGTTTATGTTCAACATTGGGGTCCAGTCCAGGCCTCCTAGGCACTGTTCACTGTCATAACTTCCCTCTCTGTTTCAGCCATACTTGGCTTTTGCAGGGACCAGCAGGGGCTCTGTTTAATGGCCTTCCTTAGCTGGCTGCCCCTCAGCGACACTTCACACAGTTACATGCAGCTGTATGAAGGATTTTGCTTACATGCCAAGGTTAGCCTCTGGAATTGGATTTGAATTGTTGTTATTGTTGTTTTTCTGGACAGGACTTCTCTTTGTAGCCCTTGCCATCCTGGAACTTGCTCTGTTGACCAGGCCTGCCTCTGCCTCTTGAGTGCTAGGATTAAAGGCACTGGGCTGGATTTGCATCATAAGAGAAAAACAAACCAAGACAAAACTTGGGCTGATTTTGAAAAGCTTATTCCTCAATATTTTGCAGGCTTTTCCCACGCTCCTGCTCAGCACTTGGGAGGAAAATCGCTGCTGAGTACAGAAGCTTCACAAGTAAATCTCTCAAGGAACACATTTTCCCTCCACTGATGAATATGCTGATATATTTCAATTTTTGTAAGTATGTACTGTTCATAAATATTCCTGCATAAATTCTCCCCAATACAGAACTCACTGCTCTTACAGTCTCAACACAAGGAAAACATGTGCTGCAAAACCCGGGCTAGACTCACATGGTCAGAAACCTACTGTATTGTATCCAAAGTGCTATAAAAAAATGTGTGTATGTGTGAGTGTGTGTGTGAGTGTGTGTATGTGTGAGTGTTTGTATGTGTATCTTTTTGATGTTCGCGTGCTCATGTACATGTGTGTGCCTGTATGTTTGTATGTGTATGTATGTGTGTATATGAATATGTGTGCAAATGCATATATGTGTATGCATGTCTTTGTGTATGTCTGTGTATGCATGTGAGCATTTATGTAAGTGTGTATATGTGTGTGTATGTATGTACATATGTATGTGTGTATGTGTATATGTGTGTTTATCTGTATGTATGCGTGTATATGTATATATGTATGTGTGTGTGTATATGTGTGTGTGTGTTCATGTTGGGTATTTTCCATCAGTCTTCCCTTGCTGGAGACTGGTTCTAGATCTGGCTAGTCTCAATAGTTTACCCAGAGAATGCTATAGTTTTCTTCCCCGTTGCTGAGATTTTAGGCTGGCTGCCATGTCTGCCTGGTTTTTTTATGTGAATATGGTAGGTCCTAACTCTTGTTCTTATGCTTGTGTGGCAAGCAAACATTTTATTCACTGAAGTATCACCCCAGCCCTCTAGTCATTTTTCTTAACCTGTATCAGTTATAGAAGTAAGAGAAGAGAGAGAGACACACAGAGAGAAACAAAGAGAGACAGAAACACAGAGGGGGGGAGAGGGAGAGAGAGAGAGAGAAAGAGAGAGAGGGAGAGAGGGAGAGGGGAAAGGGGAGAGAAAGAGAGAGAGAGAGAGAGAGAGAGAGAGAGAGAGAGAGAGAGAGAGAAGATATAGAGAGATTTGTATCCCCCTAGAGTACTGAGGCCCTAGCTTTCAATGTCATGCCCTCTGTTGTACATCAGTACTAGCTATATTTTGCTTTATAGCTAATGATAATGACATTCCCTGTGAGTTTAGTTTTGTCCTTTCTACTTACCTTTTTGGAGAAAAGATTTCTTCTGCTTTTAGCTCCAGAAAAGGGTGAAGATTGCACAAACTCTTCTCTTGCTTAGCATGAAACTTAGAACTAATTGCTTACAACAGTGGTTCTCAACTTGTGGGCAGCCCCTTTGGGAATAGATCAACCCTTTCGAAGAGGTCGCCTAATACCATTGGAAAACACAGATATTTACATTATGATTCACAATGGTAGCAAATTATAGTTATGAAGTAGCAATGAAATGATTTTATGGTTGGGGGTCACCACAATGTGAGGACTGTATTAAAGACTCAGAGCATTAGGAAGGTTGAAAACCACTGGCTTATAAAGGTGAAGCTTTTTAAAAAAACTGTGATGAACAGACATGGAGCCTGATGCTGCGGGCTGACTATGATTTCTGCCTTGCAGTTAAATGTCCCCTTCTCGTGGATTTAAAGAGACCTGAGACAAAGATTGCTCACACAGTGAACTTCTTCCTCAGGTCTGAGCCTGGGGTGCTGCTTGGCATCTGGTGAGTGAACTGACTGACACTTTCCTAACTCAGATTCATATATGCTTTCCTGACATGTACATGCTTTGTCCACTGAAACATCACCCCAAGCCGTGATCCTTCTGCTTACCTGTATCAACTATAGAAAGAAGAGAGAGATGGTTAGAGAGAGAGAGACACACAGAAACACAGAGGGGGTAGGAAGAGAGAGAGAGAGAGAGAGAGAGAGAGAGAGAGAGAGAGAGAGAGAGGATTTCTGTTAGAAGAGCAGAGGGGAGCAGGGCTGTGCTTCCTGCCTGTGTAGAACCTGGCTGTCTGTGGGAGCTTCTAGAAGCTGTTCCATACTCCTTTCCTTTTATTGAGACAACCCCCCTGCTTCATTTTGCTTAAGAGTTCAAAGTCTTTCAAATGGCATTCTTGGTTTCTGGTCCCACCCTCTTCTGCCTTTCTCTATCCATGTATGCTGTCATCCCTCTTATCCAGACACTAGCTCCCTGACAAATGATTGTGTGTCTGTATCTTTTATCTGTGGACTCAAGGGAAGCTGGGAGGGGGCTGGTAGCAGTCATAGTTGCTGGGCACTACTATCTCCTGCCTGGAAAACTGTGCCCTTACCAATTTCTTATCTCAGTCTCTCCCACCTGCCCTAAACCTTAATTGTTAAACTCCCCTGACCACTCACCTATAGAAGCAGCCTGTGTGTGGCTACTTTGTTTTGAGATCTTATATGACTCTTAAACTTGCAGGTATAATTGGGAGGTCCCTGGGGTACAGGCTTCCCTTCAACCTCCCGACTTGTGCTCTGAAGTCACCATTACTTAGTGGTGGGAGAATGCTGTCCTGCTTTACTTTACATTGTGATAAACACTATGACCAAAGCAACTAGATGAAGAAAGGGTTTATTTCATCTTTCAAGGTGCAGTTCATGGTTGAGGGAAGAGGGCAGGAACTTGAGGAAGAACCTGGAGGCAGGAACTTCTGCAGAAGCTGTGGAAGATGGCTGCTTACTGGCTCACTTCTAGGATTACATTCAGCTGCCTTTCTTTCTTTTTTTTTTTTCAAAAATTTATTTATTTATTTTATGTATATGAGTACACTGTAGCTGTCTTCAGATACACCAGAAGAGAGCATCAGATTCCATTACAGATGGTTGTGAGCCATCATGTGGTTGCTGGGAATTGAACTCAGGACCTTTGGAAGAGCAGTCAGTGCTCTTAACTGCTGAGCCATCTCTTCATCTGCCTTTCTTATTCAGTCCAGACCTAGCTGCCTAGGGATGGCACTGCCCACGATGGGCTGGGCCTTTCTCCATCAACTAGCAATTGAGAAAACACTCCACAGGCATGCCCACGGGTCAATCTGATGGAGGCTATTTCTCAGCTAAGGCTCCCTCTTCCCAGGTGTGTCAAGTTGACAACCAAGATTAGCCATCATGTTGTTGAACATCTTTAATTGTATGTTCAAAGTTGTTATGTGTTTGTATGCTGAAACCCAGGCATCAAAATATAAGCAGCTATTGAAATGCATGTGTCTTAATAATATATTGGCTACAGAGAAGGAAAAAAAAAAAGGATTAGCTTGGGTTCATGTTCAAATTCTGGGTAAATAAATATCTATTCTCCTTTACTTGTTTCAACCTTTGTCATTGTTGCCATTTCAGTGGCTTGCATCTAAGAACTGCCATCTTGGAAACTTCTTAAAAGAGGCTAAAGTTAGAAGAATTAACGGTGTAAACAGTTAACTCACTCCATGTGGGGTGCTGGGGTCGCAGTAGAAATTTTCCTCAGATATTTTGTGCTCTTAGATTACATTATTAGCTTATGCACGTGTTGCTTAGATAAGACTTAAAAAATATCTTTAAAGTATGTATATACATAGCTGTCATTTTTGATACACAATCTCTCTCATAAATACATGGAAAGGAGGTATGTTTCTGCTCTGCGGTATAGTAAACCTCTCCTTACTCCTTAGGCACACAGTCCCCAGCTGCCGGGGGGAAGAGGCCAAGGGGAAGTGTCGATGCTGGTACGAAGCAGCACTCAGTGATGGGAACCCGATTATTATTTATCTCCATGGCAGTGCACAACACAGGTCAGCATGTCTGCTTGGTGTGTCTGTCTGTCTGTCTGTCTGTCTGTCTGTTTATCTTTGAAATATTATGAACATTTCTAAGGCATGGGAGAGTGAAGGCAGTTTTCAACCTCAGACACGCCTTCACCTGTTTCTATTCTTTAGTTGAAAGGTGAAGGTGTTCTGGCAAACACGGTCTCTTTATTTTTTTTTTTTTGTTTGTTTTTTTTTTATTTTGCTTGTAGTTTTTTTTTTTAATTTTTTTATTGGATGTTTTATTTACATTTCATATGTTGTCCCCTTACCCCATCCCCCACCCACCCAGGAACCCCCAATCCCCTCACACCTCCTCCTTCTTCTTTGTGGATGTAACCTCTATCTACCCCCCCACTCCCACCTCCCCACCCTCAAAACTCCCACCCCCTGGGGCGTCCAGCCTTCATGAGGTCAAGGATCTCATCTTCCACCTGTGCCCAGCAGGGCCCTCCACTCTTATATATTCAGCTAAGGCCCTGGATCCCTCCATAAGTGCTCCCAGGCTGGTGGTTTAGACCCTGGGAGCTGTGGTTGGTTGGTATTGTTGCTCTCCTCATGGGGCCACAAATCCTTTCAGCTCCTTCAGTCTTCACTCTAACTCCTCCATTGAGAACCCCATGATCACTTCAATGGCTAGTTGTGAGCATCTGCCTCTGAATATGTCAGACTCTTGAAGACCTCTGAGGAGACATCCATATCAGGCTCTTATCAGCATGCACTTCCTGACTTCCACATCAGCATCTACCTTTGGTGACTGCACATGGGATGGATACTCAGGTGGAAAGGTCTTCAGACGGCCCCTCCTTCAGTTTTTGTCCCTCGCTTTGTCTCCATATTTGCTCCCTTGAGTATTTTGTTGCTCCTTCTAAGAAGGACCGAATCACCCCCACTTGGTCTTCATTCTTTATGGACTTCATGTGGCCTGTGAGTTGCATCTTGGGCATTTTAAGGTTCTGGGCTAATATCCAATAATCAGTGAGTGAATACCATGTGTGTTCTTTTGTGATTGGCTTACCTCACTCAGTATGATAATTTCTAGTTCCATCCATTCACCTAGGAACCTCTCAAATTCATTGTTTTTAATAGCTGAGTAATACTCCATTGTGTAAATATACCACATTTTTTTAATCCATTCCTCAGTTGAAGGACATCTGGGTTCTTTCCAGCTCCTGGCTATTATAAATAAGGCTGCTATGAACATAGTTGAGCATATGTCCTTATTATATGTTCGAGCACCTTCTGGGTATATGCCTAGGAGTGGTATAGCTGGATCCTCGGGTAATGCTATGTCCAATTTTCTGAGGAACCGCCACACTGATTTCCAAAGTGGTTGCACCATCTTGCAGTCCCACCAACAATGGAGGAGTGTTCCTCTTTCTCCACACCCTCGCCAGCATCTACTATCACCTGAGTTTTTAATCTTAGCCATTCTGACTGGTGTGAGATGGAATCTCAGGGTTGTTTTGATTTGCATTTCCCTGACGACTAAGGATGCCGAGCATTTCTTTAGGTGCTTCTCGGCCATTCGAGTTTCTTCTGTTGAAAATTCTTTGTTAAGCTCTATACCCCATTTTTTAATAGGGTAATTTGGTTGCCTGGAGTCTAATTTCTTGAGTTCTTTGTATATATTGGATATTAGCCCTCTATCAGATGAAGGATTGGTAAAGATCTTTTCCCAATTTGTTGGTTGTCGTTTTGTCCTATTGACAGTGTCCTTTGCCTTACAGAAACTTTGCAATTTTATGAAGTCCCATTTGTCAATTCTCGATCTTAGAGCATATGCCATTGGAGTTCTGTTCAGGAATTTTCCCCTGTGCCCAAGTATTCGAGGCTTTTCCCCACCTTCTCTTCTATTAGTTTCAGTGTATCTGGTTTTATGTGGAGGTCCTTTATCCACTTAGATTTGAGCTTTGTACAAGGGGATAAGAATGGATCAATTTTCATTCTTCTACATGTTGTCCTCCAGTTGAACCAGCACCATTTGTTGAAAATGCTGTCCTTTTTCCACTGGACAGTTTTAGCTCCTTTGTCAAAGATCAAGTGACCATAGGAGTGTGGGTTCATTTCTGGGTCTTCAATTCTATTCCATTGATCTTCCTGCCTGTCTCTGTACCAATACCAGGTAGTTTTTATCACTATTGCTCTGTAGTACAGCTTGAGGTCAGGGATGGTGATTCCTCCCGAAGTTCTTTTATTGTTGAGAATAGTTTTCGCTATCCTGGGTTTTTTGTTATTCCATATGAATTTGAGAATTTCCTTTTCTAACTCTGTGAAGAATTGAGTTGGGATTTTAATGGGGATTGCATTGAATCTGTAGATTGCTTTTGGCAAGATGGCCATTTTTATTATATTAATCCTGCCAATCCATGAGCATGGGAGATCTTTCCATCTTCTGAGATCTTCAATTTCTTTCTTCAGAGACTTGAAGTTCTTGTCATACAGGTCTTTCACTTGCTTGGTTAGATTCACACCAAGGTATTTTATATTATTTGCAACTATTGTGAAGGGTGTCATTTCCCTAATTTCTTTTTCAGTCTGTTTATCTTTCATGTAGAGGAAGGCTACTGATTTGTTTGAGTTGATTTTATAACCAGCCACTTTGCTGAAGTTGTTTATCAGGTTTAGGAGTTCTCTGGTGGAAGTTTGGGGGTCACTTAAGTATACTATCATATCATCTGCAAATAGCGATATTTTGACTTCTTCCTTTCCTATTTGTATCCCTTTGACTTCTTTTTGTTGTCTAATTGCTCTGGCTAAGACTTCCAGTACTATATTGAATAGGTAGGGGGAGAGTGGGCAGCCTTGTCTAGTCCCTGATCTTAGTGGGATTGCTTCAAGTTTCTCTCCATTTAGCTTGATGTTAGCTACTGGTTTGCTGTAAATTGCTTTTACTATGTTTAGGTAGGGGCCTTGAATTCCTGTTCTTTCCAAGACTTTTATCATGAAGGGATGTTGAATTTTGTCAAATGCTTTCTCAGCATCTAGTGAGATAATCATATGGTTTTTTTCTTTAAGTTTGTTTATATAGTGGATTACATTGATGGATTTCCGAATATTGAACCATCCCTGCATTCCTGGGATAAAACCTACTTGATCATGATGGATGATTGTTTTGATGTGGTCTTGGATTCGGTTTGCTAGAATTTTATTGAGTATTTTTGCATCGATGTTCATAAGGGAGATTGGTCTGAAGTTCTCTTTCTTTGTTGGGTCCTTGTGGGGTTTGGGAATGAGTGTAATTGTAGCTTCATAGAACGAATTGGGTAGTGTTCCTTCTGTCTCTATTTTGTGGAATAGTTTGAAGAGAATTGGTATTAGGTCTTCCTTGAAGGTCTGATAGAATTCAGCACTAAAACCATCTGGTCCTGGGCTTTTTTTAGTGGGGAGACTTTTAATGACTGCTGCTATTTCCTGAGGGGTTATGGGACTATTTAGATGGTTTATCTGCTCCTGGTTTAATTTTGGTACCTGGTATCTGTCTAGGAAATTGTCCATTTCATCCAGGTTTTCCAGTTTTGTTGAGTATAGGCCTTTGTAGTAGGATCTGATGATTTTTTTAATTTCTTCCGTTTCTGTTGTTATGTCTCCCTTTTCAGTTCTGATTTTATTAATTTGGATACTCTCTCTGTGCCCTCTGGTTAATCTGGCTAACGGTTTATCTATCTTGTTGATTTTCTCAAAGAACCAACTCCTGGTTTTATTGATATTTTGTATTGTTCTTTCAGTTTCTATTTGGTTGATTTCAGCCCTGAGTTTGATTATTTCCTGCCTTCTACTCCTCCTGGGTGTATTTGCTTCTTTTTGTTCTAGGGCTTTTAGTTGTGCAGTCAACTTGTTAGTGTGTGCTCTTTCCAGTTTCTTTTTGTAGGCACTTAGAGCTATGAGTTTTCCTCTTAGCACTGCCTTCATGGAGTCCCACAAGTTTTGGTATGATGTGTCCTCATTTTCATTGAAATCTAAAAAGTCTTTAATTTCTTTCTTTATTTCTTCCTTGACCAAGTCATCATTGAGTAGAGAGTTGTTCAGTTTCCATGTGCACATGGGTTTTCCATTGGTTTTGTCATTATTAAAGACCAGTCTTATTCCATGGTGATCTGATAAGAGGCAAGGGATTATTTCAATCTTTTTGTATCTGTAGAGGCTTGTTTTGTGACCAATTATATGGTCTATTTTGGAGAAGGTACCATGAGGTGCTGAGAAAAAGGTATATTCTTTTGTTTTAGGATGAAATGTTCTATAGATGTCTGTTAAGTCCATTCGGTTCATAACTTCTGTTAATGTCAAAGTGTCTCGGTTTAGTTTCTGTTTCCATGGACTGTCCATTGCTGAGAGTGGGGTGTTGAAATCCCCCACTATTATTGTGTGAGGTGTAATGTGTGTTTTGAGCTTTAGTAAAGTTTCTTTTATGTATGTAGGTGCCCTTGCATTTGGGGCATAGATGTTCAGAATTGAGAGTTCACCTTGGTAGCTTTTTCCTTTGATGAGTATGAAGTGTCCTTCCTTATCTTTTTTGATTAATTTTGGATGGAAGTCGATTTTATTTGATATTAGAATGGCTACTCCAGCTTGTTTCTTGGGACCATTGGCTTGGAAAATTGTTTTCCACCCTTTTATTCTGAGGTAGTGTCTGTCTTTGTCACTGAGGTGTGTTTCTTGTATGCAGCAAAATTCTGGGTCTTGTTTGTATATCCAGTCTGCTAGTCTGCGTCTTTTTATTGGGGAATTGAGACCATTGATGTTAAGAGATATTAAGGAAAAATGATTGTGGCTTCCTGTTATTTTTGTTATTAGAGGTAAAGTTATGTTTGTATAGTTATCTTCTTTTGGGGTTGTTGGAAGATTACTTCCTTGCTTTTTCTAGGTTGTAGTTTCCCTCCTTGTGTTGGCGTTTTCCATCCATTATCCTTTGAAGTGCTGGGTTTGTGGGAAGATATTGTGCAAATTTGGTTTTGTCATGGAATATCTTGGTTTCACCATCTATATTGATTGAGAGTTTTGCTGGGTATAGTAATCTGGGCTGGCAATTGTGTTCTCTTAGGGTCTGTATGATGTCCGTCCAGGCTCTTCTGGCTTTTATAGTCTCTGGTGAGAAGTCTGGTGTAATTCTTATAGGTCTGCCTTTATATGTTACTTGACCTTTTTCCCTTACTGCTTTTAGTATTTTTTCTTTGTTTTGTGCATCTGATGTTTTGATTATTATGTGACGGGAGGTATTTCTTTTCTGGTCTAGTCTATTTGGTGTTCTGTAGGCTTCTTGTATGTTTATGGGCATCTTGTTCTTTAGGTTAGGGAAATTTTCCTCAATGATTTTGTTGAAGATATTTACTGGCCCTTTAAGTTGGGAATCTTCATTCTCATCTATACCTATTATCCTTAGGTTTGGTCTTCTCATTGTGTCCTGGATTTCCTGGATGTTTTGAGTTAGGAGTTTTTTGCTTTTTTCATTTTCTTTGACAACTGTGTCAATATTTTCCACCGTATCTTCTGCATTTGAGATTCTCTCTTCTATCTCTTGTATTCGGTTGGTGATGCTTGCGTCTGTGACTCCTGATCTCTTTTTTAGGTTTTCTATCTCCATGGTTGTCTCCCTTTGAACTTTCTTTATTGTTTCTATTTCTAGTTTCAGGTCCTGAATGTTTTTGTTTAATTCCTTCTTTGTGTTTTCTTCCATTTCTTTAAGGGATTTCTGTGATTCCTCTTTAAGGGCTTCTATCTGTTTACTTGTACTCTCCTGTATTTCTTTAAGGGAGTTACTTAATTCCTTCTTATAATCCTCTATCATCATCATGAGAAGTGATTTTAATTCTGAATCCTGCTTTTCAGGTGTGAAGGGGTGTTCAGGGCTTGCTATATTGGGAGAACTGGGCACTGATGATGCCAAGAAACTTTGGTTTCTGTTGCTTATGTTCTTGCGCTTGCCTTTCGCCATCTGGGTAACTCTAGTGGTACCTGCCCTCTCTGTGTAAGATTGGAATCTGTATTTCCAGTTATCTTGCTTATTGCAGAGCTCCTCGGAGTCCAGAGGTCTCTGTGGTCTTATGCCCCTAATCTCCCAGGTGGAAGAACTCCTGGGACTCAGGCCACCTCTTGGATCTGGTAATCCTTCTGTTCTGAGTGCAGTGGCTCCTCGGCTGCTCTGAGTGCAGTGGGTTCTCGATGACTCAGGATTCAGTTTCAGCTGCTCTGAGTGCAGTGGCTCCTAGATGACTCAGGATTCAGTTTCTCCACAGGACAGGAGCAGACCAACTCTGTGTCAGCTGCTCTGAGTGCAGTGGCTCCAGCTGCTCTGAGTGCAGTGGGTCCCTGATGACTCAGAATTCAGTTTCAGCTGCTCTGAGTGTAGTGACTTCTCGATGACTCAGGATTCAGTTTCTCCACAGGACAGGAGCAGACCTACTCTGTGTCTGCTCCAGTCCCAGGGACCAGGCAGGGGCCGAAGGGAAGTGGAATTCCGGAGGGGCAGGGTTTGGGTAGCTGCTGTGCCCTAGATGTCCCTGGCTCCCAGATGTATTTCTGGGGCTTAGGGAGTGAGATGGAGTTCTTACCAGCTGCTCTGAGTGCAGTGGCTCCTGGATGACTCAGGATTCAGTTTCTCCACAGGACAGGAGCAGACCGACTCTGTGTCTGCTCCAGTCCAAGGGACCAGGCAGGGGCCGAAGGGAAGTGGAATTCCAGAGGGGCGGGGTTTGGGTAGCTGCTGTGCCCTGGATGTCCCTGGCTCCCAGATGTATCTCTGGGGCTTAGGGAGTGAGATGGAGTTCTTACCAGCTGCTCTGAGTGCAGTGGCTCCTGGATGACTCAGGATTCAGTTTCTCCACAGGACAGGAGCAGACCGACTCTGTGTCTGCTCCAGTCCAAGGGACCAGGCAGGGGCCGAAGGCAACACGGTCTCTTTAAACAAGGAGTCCGAATATAGAATGACATGGGTCTGTTTCTGAACAGGAGGGAATAATAATTCTTCTGGAATGTCCATCTCGATTTCAATGAAGCCACTGGCTTCTTTACTCCTCAAGATTATTCAAGATGATGGATTGAATTGAAATGGAATCAGTTGTTTTTAAACCAAGAAGAACTAGTACTAGCAGGCTGGAAGTGGAGGGTCTCATGGGGAGTGGTGTGTTCCTCATTCATATGTCCAACAGGAAGAACTGTGCACAGAAGACTGGCCAGAACCACCATGGCCTTACAGAAAGGCCACTGGGACCTCAGATTCTTGTGTGAAAGATTATTTGCCTAGCCACTCTCCCCTTAGCCTCAGACTGGTGCGCTCTCATTCTTGTTGCTAGGAATAATTGTTTCCAAATGGTTTCATGTAATCCTCCTTTCGTAGCCTGTAAAAGATTCCCCTGCATTGCTTTGAGTATATGTATAAGCTTTCTATGTGACACGAATTCCCGTTGTAACGCTTGCAAGTTCCAAACAGTCTCCAAATACTCCATGAATTGACAGACCCATGGGCGGCTGGCTGGAAAAGGTCTAGGAATGTGTTAAGGGCAAACAAAGAGCAATTTCCACATTGGTGGTCTCTTCCAGAAAATGACAGTGGAGAGTCCATTAGTTACCATTAATTCCATTCATCAGAAGCCTGACACCTGAAAGAAGTCACCGGGAATTCTTGAGCACAAAACCTGGGGACTGTGATAAATTCCACTCTAACATGTTCATGCCTTGGTCTCTGTGGTCCCTGTCTGGCATTGTCACAGAGCTGACTTCCCAGAAGCCTGTTGTCCTTTGATGTGTTGTCAAAGCTTTCCTTGGCCCAGATGATTATCAGTTGGGAACTGCAGGACTGCTCTGCCTGGGGGAGGAGCTGAGTAGCACAAACCCAAGGTCTCACTCATGTCTGTGCGGGTGGGGGTGGGGCACTTCAAACCAAGTGATGGGCTCCGGAACCTGCCCACTGGCTACCTCGCCTGTGCCTCTTTGCCTGTCATTTTCTGTCAGGTGATGGCTTTGTCAAATCTTGCCTTCTCTCCAGGAGCATGCCTGCTCTGTCTGTTTTAGAATCACGTTCCCTGAGATTTTTTCAGTGAAACCGAACAGTGGTCAGCCTTGTGTAACGTTGTTCTGATTTATGAAGCTGGACAGTGTTACAGTAGTTTATTTAAAGGATCAGTAGTCTATACCGCCATGCCTGTGCCTCCATGTGAATCTGAAACTCTACTCAGGTGATTCAGATTCCTGGGCTGCACCATCCTCAGCCTCTGCACTGCAGTCTCAGCTTGCAGCCAGAAGGGTACTGAGTACTGAGCACCAGTCCTCAAACCGCAAGTCTTGGGAGATTTGTTAATGCACTCAAATCAGTGTATTTAGGCATGGGAGAGTCTAGTAAAGTTGTATATAAAATTTGAAGTGTGGATCCATTTCCTTTCTAGGAAATGGGTTTATTGCTGTAACTAGATTCTCTGGGAGTTCCATGGCTCACTCACTGAATAATTTTTTTTCTTAAAGGGATTTTCTGCTGCACAGAACTCAGAGGAGATGGGTTATAGTACATTGTCAAAAGCTCATGTTGGCTGGGCAGTGGTGGCACACGCCTTTAATCCCAGCACTTGGGAGGCAGAGGCAGGCGGATTTCTGAGTTCGAGGCCAGCCTGATCTACAGAGTGAGTTCCAGGACAGCCAGGGCTACACAGAGAAACCCTGTCTCGAAACACCCCCCCCCCCAAAAAAAAAAAGCTCATGTTGGAAAGCCCTGGGGAGATGAGTGCCAAAGAAAGGCAGGGGGGGTTGGGAGATGGTTTCATCATTCAATCATCTGCTTTGACACAGGCGAGCTGGCCTTGCCACTAAGAAACATTTCTTTTTCTCCTATTCTTTATTTCCCTTAACAAACAAACAAACAAACAAAAAACAAACAAACAAACAAAAAACAAAAAACCAAACCAAACCAAACCAAACAAACAAACAAACAAAAAAACAGACCAGAGTTGTTAGGTCAGGTGTGGTCCCACACTCCTTTAATGCCAGCACTTGGGAGGTGGAGACAGATCTGTGTGAACACAGTGAGGCCAACCAGGGTTAAACAATGAAACTATGTTTCAAACAACAACCGAACTAAACAAACAAATCTAAAACAGAAAGAGGGAAAGACTGAGTAGGATCAATGCCTAAGAGTGACTTTTATTGAGTTTGTCTTAGTAGTTCCTAATTCTTGTGTTTTTTTCCCATCTATCTTTCTCCTCTACAGGGCGACTCCTCGGAGAATTAAGCTGGCACAGGTATGCCTGAGAGGCCACAGGGAGTGTGTGTGTGTGTGTGTGTGTCTGTGTATGTGCACGCGGGTGTGCACTTCCGTGTGCAGGAGAATAACTCTGGGCTCCAAAACTCTTTCATGAATTTGATCTCATTTCCACAAATCTTTTGAATCTGTCTGGACAGGTGATTTTTTTTTAAAGACAAAGATCTTTTTTATCATTTTATTTCTTCCTTCCTTTACTCCCTCTCTCCCTCCTTCCCTCCTTTCCTG